GCCCGCTTTGATGGCTCATGCTCTAACGGCTGCAATGCCACGCGCGCTCGAAGAACTAGCAGAGCTTGGCGCCACTCAGTCGCGCGGCGACAAGTACACATAGTGGACATCGTCGTTTCCAATATATATTTATATATATAGAACGATAACGTCGCCCGCGTTGCGAAACAGCGACGCAACGCCATGCGTGGACGGCGCCCACGGCGAGACTGCCGAAGCCGGCGTGTACGGAATGCAGCAAACGCAGATTCGCAAGTCAACTGCGACGGCCATGACAACAAACTCGTCAGCGTATTCTGGGAAAAAACTCTGCACCAACTTCCCATGCATTTCGTCGTCGCGCGCGGGACCGCGCGCATCGAGGGGAGTTAACGCACGGTCAAGTTTGGCTATGAGATCAGACCACGTCATGGCTGCAACTTCGCCACCGCAAAAGTACGTCCGTAGCGCCTCGGCGCGCGCGCGCCCAAGTCGGCGCGCCGCGGGAACCGGGCGTTCGCGAATGCTGGCGCGCCCGTGGCGCGCACCCTCGCCGAGGACATGCTCACAGGGTGTTCACCCGGCAGAACCTGGGCCAAAACCCTTTCGCTGCTCTCCGCCAAGCCAGCCGCCGAGCAGAAGAGCCATAAGCACGCGGCAGAGGTTCGACCTGCGCACTGGCCGAAATCGCAATCCTCCACGCTGAGCTGGCAATGTTCCTGGGAGCGCTGCGCGTACTGCTCGAGCACGGACAAGTATGCCCACTTCTGGCAGCCGATGAACTTGACTCTCTGTCGGTGCTGGACAAACCTCCCTTTAGTAGACCCCCCCTTAGTGAAAACGGCCTGGGACCGAAACCGATGGACCTGGACCAGCAAAAATGGCGGCCGCGACGCCGTCTCGCGAACCGAAAACGGCCAATTCGCTAATCGCCGTGTCAGGGTAGGAGGTCTGTCCACCCCCGAGTCTGACGCAAGTGTCGTCGAAAGCGGGCCCTGTTGTCCTGCTTGGCGCGCTTGTCGTCGATTCCATTCCGTAGATGCAGGAGCGCCTGGCCGAGCGAGAGCGACCTGCTCTCCAGCGCGCGGGCGATGTGTCAGCTTGGAAGCTCATGTCCGATGCAGAGTCTTCGCTCCGAATGTCTTTGCGCTGCGTCGCGACAGCCTCGCCGGACCGAAAGGGGGCCTGCGCCGAAGAGCACTGTCGGGTCGGGCGAAAGGGGGGGATAGCAAAGGGGGGGTTTGAGAATCAGCTCACGGAGCTGATTTTCCCGGCGCCTCCCGGCGCCGGGAGGCGGCCATGTATCGAGGAATGGGCCCTTCGGTGAAGCCGAAACCAGCTGCATGCAGCAAATTTCGTAACCCCCCCTTTCCCAATCCCCCCCTTTCGCCCGACCCGACACTGGGGGCCAGGGGTCATTGAGGGCGCCGATGACTGGCAGAGCCTGGTCACCGACCCGTCGCCTGCCTCACTCGCGCCCTCCTTGCATTGCAACTGCACTGACGATGCGTCGGCGATGCATCGGCGATGCAGCGGTAACGCCGGCGTGGAGAAAATTCTGCTCCGCATCGAGCCGTATCGCCGATGCACTGGCGATGCGGCACGATCCTCTGGCCCCATCTACTCCGACCCCATCTAAGACGCCTTCCCAAGATGTCCCAACGGGGGCTCTGACAAGTCCTCGCCTTCGCAGGCTGGCCCTGCGTGCGGGGAGCCGGCAAGGAAAACGCCGCTCGCTGTGTAAATCTCTCGGGGTGGCCTGCATCTTTGCCGCACACACGGGTGCCCCCGCAGTCCGAGCGATGCAAGTTGAAGGCGGACGTCAAATCCATTTGGCGGCGCGCCTGCTTCGGCGGCGCTGCTAGGGCGGCGCTTTCCCCATTCGCAAGGCGTTGGCCTCCTCGACTGTCGGATCATTATTATGCTGCTCTGGCGGGGCTCTCGGCTGGCGAGACAGACCCAGATCCCCTGGTGCTCACGACCATCTTTCGGCAAACCTCGCCAACATGGGACGATATTGTTTTATATTGTTGTTTCATTCCCCCGTGGGGGGGTAAGGGTACCGTGGGCGGGCAAACCGGAGGTGGGCCGGGCGCTGGTTGACGACAACGACAACGACGACGACCAGGACGACGAGGACGAGGACGACGACGGCCGCCTCTGAATGTCTCCCGAAGTCTCCAGATGCCTCAGGAGATCTCCCGAGGCCTCGGGGACGACCACGACGCCGGCGCCAGCGCCGGCGCCAACGCCGACGACAATGTCGGCGCCGACGCCGAAGTCGACGCCGCCGCAGCCACCGAAGCCGACGCAGACGCCGACGCCAACAACGACGACGACGACGACGACGACGACGACGACGACGACGACGACGACGACGACGGTAACGGCGACGAGAACGAGGACGACGACGCCGACGACGACGAGGACGACAACGATGACGGTGACGGCCGCATCTGAAGGTCCCCAAGAGGGTTCCGGAGACCTCAGGAGATCTTCGGAAGCCTCTGGACCCAAACCTCTGCTGGTCATGAATTTTACATGCGATGGGGTTCCGCATGAAAAAAAGATTACATGGACAAAACATCATTACATCAGAAAAAAAACGTTACATGAATCATCTCACGAAATCGCTATAGTTTAACTCTCGAATGACAGCGAACGCGTGGCGTCCCGTAATGATGTGCAATGCCAAACACCGCGCCATAATATTGTAGGGCGGCGGCAACACGTGTACAGGAGATCGGATCGAGCACGTCAATTTCACCGAACAGCAGCGATGTATACGCTTTCAATCTCTAACGCTTCGGCCTGGCTCGAGATCTCGAGAGGGAGAGATCGATCAGAGAGATATCGCCATCTCCCGAACAATTTGCGTGTGCGCGAGCACTCCTGGCCCGCGAAACGACGCCGACGACGTCGACGACGACGAAGACGATAACAATGCCGACGACGACGACGAGTACGAGGACGACGAGTGCGAGGACGACGAAGACGACCACGACCAAGACCACGACGACGACAACGACGACGCCTCTGAAGGGCTACTGAGGTCTCTGGAGGCCTCAGAGGTCTCTGGAGGCCTCTGGTAGGCCTCCGATGCTCATCAGCACCACACTATGCCTAGGAGCACGTCACCATACCTGTGGGTGGGGCGCCCCCCCCCCTGTACGTTCGTTGCCGTTACGAGGAGGGGGAAGCGGGAAGCGACCCTCCGTAACGCCCCCCCGCACGTCCGTTACCATTTCGAGGGGGGGGGGAAAGGGGAGGCGACCCCCGCGTAACGGCTGTTACGGGCTCGACACTCTCGACCCGTCCCCAGCGCCTGGCTCGCTCTCCAATGCCCAATGCTATCTAGGGAAGGGCGGGGCGGCGCCCACTGCCGCTGGGCGCCCTGAGGCGGATCGCGGCTGGGTGGGCCACAGGCCTGCCCCAAGGAGAGGACTTTGCTGGACTGTGGTGGGCTGTGTTGGAGGAGCGCACCAACGCTACATGAACACAGTGGGGCCCGAAGCCAGGGCGGCCTCAGGCGACTGGCCTGGGGCGCCCTCTCCAAACTAGGGGAAAAGCACCGGAAGCCCCACAAGGAGGACGGGGAGGCGGAAGGAGGGCGAGGACAGGGAGGACAGGGACGAAGATGCTGTCTCCTGTCTCACGTCGGCGCCTGCACCGCATGCGGCAAGGCAGAGAATCGGCAAGTACCCCCTGTTACAAGCGGAGGCCGCCCAATTCACGGGCAAGAGGCGCGTGGGGGCGGGGTGCGGGTGCGGGCGCGGCACTTCCGTATGGCTTTCGAGTTCGTGTAGCCACTGATGGCGCGGGGCCTGTCTCCGTCGTGCCTCGCGGGAGGGGCGCCGCGTGGCGGGTCTCCTCTTGCGTCCCGCCTCCTCCTCCTGCGAAGCGGGGACTCGTCCATACCAACTGCCCACCGCCTTGAGAACCGATATCCTGGGGCCCCAAGGGTGGCAAAGGGGTATGGTTACATTTTCGTTCTGAGACGGTCTGGGCGCCCTCGCGGAAAGGTGGCGCGAGCGAATGCACACCTGCAGGCGGACGAGCAAGCGGCACGACGAACCTAGTAGCGATATGAGCACGGACAAGGGAATGCGGCGGGGGGGGGATAACAGACCGGCCGAACAATGGGAGACAGAGAACCAGACGGTAGGGGATCGCGCTGGTGGGCGTTCGCAGGAAGGCGAAAAGAGCAGGTGAGAGAACGGACGCCAGGACAGAGACCAGGAAGATAGAACATAGATGCAAAATGAGTGCGGCACGTGGGAAGACAGATGATTGGAACAGGCGAAGCCCACAAAACACGGAAAGAGAGGGAGGGAACCAAGGAAGGTAGGCAACGCGGCAAAAAGGAATGCCGACTCGACGGAAGGACGAGAGAAAACGAGTCCATGCAGGACCAGTCGCGACAGTCACCGCGCTTCAAATCTAGAAGCCACCAACCAGCTGGAATTGGCCGCCCTCGATGGGCCGTGGGACTGCGGCTGGAGGATGTGGAGGGGACAGGAGGCTGAGAACGTGAATCGGCGGTGGGCAAACCTCCCTTTAGTAAACCTCCCCGTAGTGAAAACGGCCTGGGACCGAAACCGACGGACCTGGACACGCAAAAATGACGGCCGCGACGCCCTCTCGCGAACCGAAAACGGCCAATTCACTAATCGACGTGTCAGGGTAGGAGGTCTACACCCTGCGAAATGCTTAAGAAATCATGGGTCAAGAAATTCATAGTCTCAGAACTTGAATAAAAACCCAAAATTTCTATTCAAATCTTAGGATTTACATGGAAACGTTAAGAATAATCGAGACTCTGGACGAAAACTTAGGTTTTCTTGAGCATCGCCTAAGGTGTATCCACCTCCGAGTGAAGAGGCACTCTGTTCCTCCTCCGGCGGCGTGGACCCGGTCACCCGACTCCGCGCAAATCGCCCCCCGCGGGGCGCGACGCACGCTCACCATCGCGCCCCCGTGCCCTCGCGCCGCGCCCTTGGATCAGGAGGGAAAGAAACACACAGACACAATGAATCGTCGATGCCCCAGAAAGTATGGGAAAATATGGGAGGTGGGCGGGAAGACAAAAGCCCAGAAAATACAGGAAACTATGGGGAATTATTTGATTTGTGTGTATCTATTTGTGTGTCCTGGGGCCCTTTCATTGGAGATGGGCAGCCACTCTGGCCCAGGCCGCCAGGTGCGGAGCGCGATCTTACCTTCGGGCCCTCCGCTGGCGAAGCCGGGCAGCTCACCGCCGCGCCCGACGCACGCGGGCCGCGCCGAGCGAAGCTTCGGGGCGCCACGCGCACGCGAAGCGGCACGCCCTCGCCACGACGCCCGGCGCCCGGCGGGCTGCCTGGCCCGCACCTGCACGGGGGTGAGGCGGTCGCATGCTGCGCCCGCCATCCACGGCAGCCGTCAGACGAGATGTTGGCACGCCAGCAGCTCCCCTGGGTTACTGCCGCAGTGCTGCAGCCGCACCCGTCCGATCCCGCCCAAAACCGAGCCCGCGCTTCAGCGTCCCAGTGCCAGCACGGGTGCATGGCACAGGCACTGTTAAGCAACGTGCGGCGATCCGATGCAGAGTCCGCCAAAGCGCCACGCCCAGCTGGTGCGGTCGCCCTGCGGGCCAGCGGGGAAACGCTCGCCCCCTCCCCATGGGGGCGCGGTACTCGAATCAGTCCTTGGCTGCTTCCGAAAAGCCACCTCGACAGCCTGGGTGACCATGAAGGCACCCGACTAGTTAAAGAAGCGACCGCCTGTGACCATTGCGTCCGAACGTGTCCACACAACGCGGAACTCAAAAACCACGATCTGTCGAACTCTTCCCCAGCAAGGGGGGTGGGGCAGCTCGTCGCCCTGGCAGGTGCGCCGAAGAGGGGCGCCAGGCAGGAACAGGGCGCCAGGACCGGGTGTATATTGCCCGAGCGAGGCATGTGTGCGACGAGGGGAGGGAAGGGCAGGGAAACCTGGAAGTGATAAGAGGGGGCCATGGAATCCGAGGAGAGGTACCATGGCCCCTGCCATGATACCCTCCCTCCCCCCCCCGTCTTTGGCCGCCCCCGGAGCTCTGATCCATTGACTGATAGCCCCCAGCCCCGAGAAGCGGGCACCAGAGGCCGATCTGTGCCTGGTTGCTGGAAACTGCCTCCGAGAGAGCGCGCAGGGCTCCAGAGCCCGAAATGTGGGGAACGGCGCCAAGACTGGTGAGAGGCAACGAGAGTGGGGGACTGGCATACGGGTGGGGAACCTCGACCTGGAATCGCCGATAGGCCCCCGACAGCGAACCCGCACGTTCCTGGGCACAGCCTACCCGCGAGCCATGGGCGATGGGGGATCGATGCATCCACCCCGTCTGCCCGTCCCCCCCCGATCGTGGCAGCCTGAACCGGGAACACCACTCCGCCCGAGGTCCAGAAGAGACGGCGGCGGCGGAGAGAGGGCGGCGGCGAGCACCAGCCGGGCGGGGCTGGGGCGCCTCTGGTAGAACTCGCCGTGGCGGCCGGCCACGGGCACAGACCACAGCCACTCTGGCGGTGCGGCGGCATCGGGGGGGAGAGGGGGGCCGGGAGAGGGCGAGGAGAGGTCGGCCAGGCACAGCCTGCAGGCCTGTGCTGTCCGGTGCGACGCTCTCCCCGAGAACTGTGGGCGTTTGCCTTGACGTCCCTTCTCCGCTAGCGCCCTGCCGGACAGAGGGCGGATTCGACTGCCCAGCGGCATGGCCTCGCAGAGGAAGTGGCGAGGAGAGGAGGGAAGAACAGAACGGGTGGGCCCACGCCAAATCTGACGTCCTGCCCCTCGTTATCATCCCTTGCCGTTGCGCCAGGCACATTTGTATCACCCGACTGCGGTGTCCTGGAGGACCTGGATGCCCCAAATTATCACATCGTGTGATACAGAAGCAGGCTTCTGCATGTTGGAGACGGTGGTCGATCAGAAGCGTGATCATGAAAAGGAGGAGGAGGAGGAGGAGGAGGGCAGACGGAAGAGGAGGCTCAACATGATAACCAAAAGGCGCAGAAGGGACAGGAGGAGGATGGCAACGACAATGAACATATCGGACCCAGAAAGAGGACCCGCTCTAAGGCGGGGGGCGCCATTCTGAACGACCGGAGCGAAGCGCCGCTTCAGAAATTTGGACGACGTAGCACCAGGAACATGAGACCACATAAACATTCATGCACAGTTTGTTTGATAATTACTGTGCCTGTCAGCAACACGACAGACGGCAGTAGCACCCAGACGGCAGTAGCACCCAGATGGTGTAATTGCTTTGCGGAAGGTGGTTGCCAGAGGGATCGAAAAGGAAAGAGAGGGAGGGCAGACGAGGAAAAGGAGAGGGGGGAAGAGGAGGGGGAGAGGAGGAAACGAGGAGACACGGGGAGGACAGAGGAGGAAGAAGTGGGAAAATTAAGGCCTGACATTGCCCCCGAACACCTGACCTAAAGCGGGTCGTGCGTAAGGGCCGCGGTTGCAGGGACGAGGACGAGGGTGAGGAAACAAGAAGGAGCAGAGAGGACGGAGGAAATTCAATGCGATAAGTGTTGAGAGACTCTTGAGTTGCGGCCTAGACGGCTAGCCAGAGGACGAGAAAGGGGAGCGGGGCGGGCGTGGGGGCGGTCACAAGGCGGTCCTTGGGCCGCTCTCGCCGACGCCGCAATCGACGAACAGGAGAGGACGGAGGAGGAAGGAGCGAGACGCATGATGCTGCATGCTGCACTGGCGCCCCGCAGCGGCCGCCTACCCGATTCCCAGCCCAACACTCAGCCTTCCTGCACGCCCCCGCGCCAGACCCGACGCCCAACTCGGACTGCGATACGGCTCTCCCCTGGGAAGGCCCCATCTATAAACCTAAGTGCCGACCCTGGCAACGCCGATCCCGGACCCAGGATCGGTGTATACCCCTTGCTGGCTCTTGTAAGTCGCATTTGGAGGGCCCCTGACTCTTTGCCACGGACGGACGGACGCCACCTCCGCAAGACTGCCCCGTCGAAGGACACGGCGCTCAGTACGGCTGCTGCCCAAATCCGAGCTCAACATCATGCCACGTTTGCTAAGCAAAGAATCCGAACTGATCCCAGGGCGCAACATATTGCCCTAAACCCTGCAAGTGCCGGCAACTGTCGTCAGACCGCAAGTTTTGCGCTGCTGGTTGGGCGGCTTACCTTTCGCTCGTTCGTGCCAGCTGGCGTTCCATGCTGCGGTTCGCGCCGTCCACATTGTGGAGAAATCATAAAAACAAACTTTCGCGTAAATCTCCACAGCCGTCGTCCCAAGTTAACCGCCATTCGTGGATTTCTTCCGGACTGCATGCGTTTCAATCGTATGCGTCGGTCTGGTGACCAATTAATCCAGATGTCCACCCTCTCGTCGGTCCCGGCATTTTTGCCAAGACGCAGTGACGACGAATATGTACTACCAGACGCACTGCCGACGCGTGTCTCGACTCACTGTCTTCCAGACCCCAGGATCATTCGCAACATTCTGCGCTGTTTTGTCTTCAGATGGCGGAACAACTCTGTTGTGAATGTCGACCCCCCTACATCGCCGTCGGGGCCACTCGGCGTCGGATAGGCGGAGGCGGCTTGCAAGAGAGTAGGGTGTGCAAGTAAGTTTTGACGCGTGTGCCACGAATGCTTCCCAGGATTGGCGAATCCGCTGCCTCACATCAGCGTCTGGGTCAGCCGATACCCCAACCACTCTTTCTCTATTGAATCATTGCACTGCTGAATCTGAATGTATCGTCTGGGTGTAGATGAAGGCAAACGGCACTTGTGTATTTGAACGTCAGCATACAATGCTTCGATGTTTGGAACCGTACCATTCGCTAACAGCGCATCGCCCTCGAATTGCGAACTACACAATCTGGCACTCTTGAATGTGGCCAGGCCATATGCCATACAATGTTTGTTCCACGCCATGCTGCTTGAGTCATGATGTCTTCGAGTAACGCGTTGGAACTCAAAGAACTCAGCGGGTCGCCTTGCTTCGTCCCCCGCGTTCTGTCGAACCAGAAACTGTGCGCGTCAGTGCGCACCTGTGCTGTCTGACTCGAGTACAGCTCTTTTCACAATGGAATTTAATCGGCACGCCCTGCTTGAACAATGTTTTCAACGGTCCTTGGTGCGCAACATAACTGGATGTTGTATAGAAGTGCAGCGCAGCATGCCACAGAGGTAATTTGTGATCATCTGCCATACCTTGGGCGCCCGAGTTATCCGGGGTAACTCGGGTCCGGGGTAACTCGGGTTTGGATTCCCGAAAAACGAACCCGAGTTATCCCTGACCCGAGTTACCCCTGATGATTCGGGGCTCTGGACGCCCGAGTTATCCGGGGTAACTCGGGTCCGGGGTAACTCGGGCTTGGATTCCCGAAAAGCGAACCCGAGTTATCCCTGACCCGAGTTACCCCTGATGATTCGGGGCTCTGATGTACCATCATCATCATGAAGAGCTTGTCTTATGTCGAGAACCCAATCCTCCGTCTCATTGGCGGGTACTTACGTGGAGGCCTTTCGTCGCCAAAGCCGTGGAACACCTTAACAAATCATCGCCTCCACGTTACAAAACGATTCTGCAAAACCGCTGGGGATGGTATTCAACAGGGTGGCAATAACGGAAACTATGATGTCCCCACTTTCCAAGAACATCTCGGCAATGATGCCCTTCGGATTTGCACACTTGTTCCGCTGGAACTCCGTGTGCGATGTTGGACTTTCCAGCTCTGCGGTTGTCGGCAAAACTGCAGATACATTGGCCAGATCGGTCCTATGTGTAACTGTCTTTTTGTCGTCGGGCACGCTCGTCGTCAAAGACTTGCGCACACTGTCTTCGCTAGTGATCTTCCGCTTCAACTTCCGCAATAGTTTGATGTGCCTTTGAATGCGCTGCTCAAGACGGCCCGCAGGACAAAGACAATAACGCCCTTCCAGGCCCCCTTTTTTTCCCTTCGGGGAGGGGCTTTCTCCTCCCCCTACCCCCCCACCATGGACCTGGACTGGGCGCCCCGCAAGAGGCTGGAGCGTCCAAAGACGAGAAGGCACACATCATTATTGAACTTACCTTGGTTTTGGATCAATGGTGCCGGTGGGGGTGGGGGGGCAAAAAGTATCTCCTTTCTATGATCGAGCTCCTCCAAGATGGTCCCAAGACAGCCCCCCAGGCTCCCAACGTGCCCCAAGAGGGCCCCTGGAAGCGCCCAGGAGGCCCCACGAGGCCCCCAAGAGGTCCCCAAGAGACCCTAAGAGACCCCCAAGAGACCCAAAGAGGCTTCCACGAGGCACCCACGAGGCACCCACGATGTTCCAGGAAGCTCCCCCGAAACCGCAAAGAGGCCCCCGGGACAGCGAAGAGCCCCCCAAAACGCCCCAAGAGAACTCCAAGAAGTTCTCGAGAGACATCTGGGGCGATTCCGAAAAATATCCAAAGGGCCTCTGGCCTTCCAACTCGCCATCCTCCCCCTCCTCCTCATCTTCCTCCTCCTCCTATTCTTCCTGATCCGCCTATTCCGTCTCTTCCTCCTTCCTCCTCTCTCCCCCCCCTCCCCCTCCTTCCACTCCCTCGCCTATTACTCCTACATCATCCCCCTCTCAAGCTATGACGGCTTCCCCAGCCCTTTATGCCACTGCATAATTCTGCACAGACCTAATCAGGGTGACTCGCCTGGGCAGTGTTTCTGAATGTGCTAGCGAGGTTACGCTAAGCGTTCGGAATACGCTCCCTGAGGTCCTCGAACTGGCCAGCCCCACCTTCAGGTTACGTGGCGCCTTCTTATTGTCAAGAAGTGCTGTCGTCGAAATTTACCCGATTGCATCTGATGGATGTCTGGGACTTGCATGCCACTCCTGCCCACGCAAATGTGACTGCACAGATGGTTTGAAGCCGTCGCATTCTACCATTTTCCATGGTAGATCGTACATGTGTGACCGCTGACGCAACCGAAGTGCATGTACCCTCTTCCAAAAGAAATTGTAACATCTAAGGCTTTGTGATCAGATCCCATTCCGAGATCCGTCACGGAGTCACGGACCACTGTCTTGGACTGAGTTTCACGATCCCGCTTGACAAGAACCGAATCGATTTGCCCGTGGCACCCACTGCTTCCGATATGATTTGTTCTTCGTTCAGGCGGTTTCGGAAAGAATGTATTAGACATCACAAGGCGTTCCATCGTCGCCCGCAGCTTCAGCCACTGTCCTCGAGATTTGTATGCATTCGTACCAACACTACCCATAACGTTAGCATTGTCGGAGTCGAGCATTCCCACCGACTTCTGCGTTGAACTCCCCTCCAACTATGGTTCTCTGATGTTTGCGGCGCGCTTCGGGCACATCCCTGACAAAGAGATGCACATAGCATGGAAGATCCGTGACATATTCCAAACATTTGGGAACGGACATAAGTCAAGAGGCCCGAAGCATCAGGGATAGGGGGTCTCCAAAGCAGATTTATCAAACCAAGCCACCCAAACTGAGTACCCCGCATGCAGTGACTGGGGACCTAAGACAAGCTACGTCTTCATCGTGCTATCAAGGTTGAGGAGTCCTTGGATATCTTGGGCAGGAGGGTGCACACGCACAAGCCCATGGCCTGGGCAAAGCAGCAGGTACCGATAGCGCTACTCCCGACCTCTTGCGGGGTGCGTTCTGACCGTCAGCGACGACAAGAAATGGCTCTTGCGCGAGATGGCATAACGACCTTACGCGGCGGCTTACGCGGGCCGCCAACGCGGCACGCCACAATAGGAAACGAGGGCGCTTACGCGCGACCTTGCGCGGGCAGCTTACGAGAGAATGTCGGCGCAATCGACCCCGTTGTTCTTTTGCGTCGCCCGCACGTAGGCACAACTCCTGGCGTTCGCAGGGGGCACATATGTTGTTCGCTGTCACGCCCTCCTCGGCGGGAGCGACGCGCAACGAGGAAGCAGCCGAGGGCCCCGCGAAGACGAATTCAGCAGTCCGCGGAAATTCGGAGGTCCCGTCCTGCCTGTGTTTTCTTTTACTCGGGGTCAACCAAAGGAGCCCAGGCAGACACAAACAAGTCGACAGAAATTACGGGATGTCCCGTAATGCCATGTATTTCCTGGATATTTCTCTTCGCCTCGATGTCCTATAGTTTCATGAAGAGCAGAATGTGTGCGTGCATTTGTATATCGATGTTTCCCTCCTGATTTCTCTGGGTCCACGAGCAGGGGCCAGGACCTCCGACTCGATTCTTCTGGTACATGGGCACGATAATTACAGGCGCCTCTGATGGTCCCGCCCACGGAGCGGATCCAACTGGTCGTGGCCACGAGGGTGCCCCGGAAAGCCTCAAGAATGGAGGCCTCCAAACTGGGGCCAGAACAAATGGATTCGGAAGATCGCGCCGCATCACCCGTGCATCGCTTGGCGCCATCGGCTAGGAGAAGATCGGCCTCCACGAGCCGCAGCGCCGATGCGGGGAAATCCTCCGCTCCCATCTGCTCGTGCCCCAGGTGGGAGTCCTGGAAACCCAGACCCTGGATGTCAGGATTTGATCATGATGTCGACCCCAAGACGTCTCGACCCATTCCCCGGGACTGGTGTTTCTCGTCTTTTGAGTCGTTGGTTGACGGTCCTGGGACCCTTCAAGGGCCCCAGGAGGCCGCAACACCTCTTGCCGTTATTGTTACATGACCCGAGGGGTCCTGGAAGGCAGGCCCCCACCACGTCTCAGCCTGACACAATCCCGCTCCTCGACACCTCCATCATGCGACCGGCCACCCGCCCCGGGCGGCTTGCGGAGAAGGAGGGCCTCCTTCCCATGCGCCAATGTACTCGCAGGGGTGGAAGAGCAGCAGGGAGAACACTCCGAGGCCACCCGGGACGACCTCGCCGCAGGACCCGGAAGGTGGTCTGGGGCGTCTTGGCCAGGCACAGCGCGCAGAGAAGAGGAGGGGAGAAGGAGAGAGGCCACAAACCGACGAGCCCGTGGTGCCGTCAGCTGCCGCTGGAAGCAAGGGCTCCTAAGTTCGCGCTTCGCGCTGCGCGAAGCGCGAAGCGCGAATAACTTCGCGCTCTCGCGCCGCCCCCCAAGGGGGAGAAGAGGAGGACGAGGAGGAGGGGGAGGAGGAAGGAGGACGGCGAAGCGCGAAGCTTGAATAACTTCGCGCCCTCCTGGGAGCCCTTGTGGAAGGAACCCTGCAGTCTCCCGTGCTTCTGACCCTCGTCGTGCCCTTGCTCGGCATGTTTCTCTAGCGCCCCCCCCCCTCCCTGACCCATGAACAATTCGAGTGAGATCTCGACTACAGAATTGATTCACCCCAGTATGTTCCCGCCGAATGTGCGAAACATGCGTAGAATGCGCTGCAAATCAACTGAGCATTCTGCGTACACTGAAAGTTCTAGGGGGTAGATCAAGTCTGCAATCGACCCCTGCTCGAAGAATACGGCAGGGGCACGTGCGATGCAGCGCGCTGCTCGTCTTCCTCCTCCGCCTCCAGACCACGATTCCGACCCTGACGATTCTGGTCCCCTCGGCTGCCTGCGCCGCTCGCATCCCCCCCCCCTCCACATTCTGATGTTCCTGTCGATCACCCTCTGCTGCTCCTCTTCCTCCGCCCCCTCGCTGCCCCGCGTGCGAGGCGGGGGTTTATCCATACCCACCGCCTGGGAACCGACGTCCTGGTGCCCCAGCGGGCGGCGGATATGAATATATTTCGGCCCCGGGGGGCCCGAATATGTCCATATCCACCGCCTGCCGAGGCTCCGAAAACTGACCCTCCAAGCGGTGGATATGGACCAATTCCCGCCTCGGACCGCGACGCTGCCTTACGCAGAGCGCACCGCCCCCCAGAGACTCCCGGGCCCACTCCTCTTTCCACCTCCTGCGCTCCCCCTCCTGCTTCCCGCTCCATCTGCTCATTCCTCGTTCCCCTCCTCCCCTCCTCCTCCTCCTCCTCCGCCTCCTCCTCCTCCGCCTCCTCCTCCTCCACTCCTACTCCTCTTCCTTATCTTCCTCTTCCTCAGATCCTGCTTCGGCCCCCAGCAGCCCCGCAGCCCCCTCTAGGCCCCCTCGCCCTCTCGACCTGCTGCCCCTAATTCCCGACCCCCCCTCACTCCACATCCAAAGGATGAAGAATACAGGGACCAGGAAGATGAAGGAGTGACGGAGAGGAGCAGCAGAAGCAGGGACGGAAGAGACGGAGGAGGTGCAGGGAGAGCAGAGGGTCAGGCGGGTGGGGAGGGGAAGCGGCCCCAAAAGTCCTCGAAAGCGCTCCCTGCCGCCCGGCCCGCCTTGGTGCGAGTGAAGTGGGTGCCGTAGGGGCAGGAAAGAAGCGGGGGCAGGGAGCCCAGAAGGGGTGCAGTTACACGCAGCAGCACGACTTGGCCAAAAGGATACATGACAGCAAGGACGCCCATGCCGAAACAACGGCAGCGACGCCAGGCATAGGGATGGGGTGTGGATGGGCCGGCGATGGGGAAGCACACACAATATCAAGATCACGCCGCCGTGGAAAATCCATCAGCCGTGTTGCTGCTGAAGCAAGAAGCACCAGACCCTGATGCACGAACGAGAGAGCGACACGCTGACGGGCTCCCGGCGGCTTGGAGGCGGCGGGGGGGGGTCTGCAGGATGAGGGGACGAAGGCCAGCAGGAGGGCCTTGGGACTCCAGAGTATCGGTCAACAAGAGGGGACGAAACTAAATCCACTCAGGACCCCTGACGAGGCACGCCTGGTGCAATCTCTCCCCCCGCATCCGCTTTTCACGGTCCCGGGGGACCGAAAACAGCCCCGGAGACCGAAGAAACCAGACAGCTGCCCGCCCCGCCCTTCCTGCTGGCCGGAACCGGTGCTGGGCCACCTCCGACCCCCAGAGGGCTCCAACCAGCGGTAGCGTATTGCAAATACTGTCTCACCCTCCCAAGAACTTGCCGTCGCTCAGACGTCCATTTTCCGTGTATTGTTCGTCTTCGTGCGTGTTTCTTTTGCTCGATGGTCCAGGATGGTCCTCGATGGTTCTCGCCGAGAAAAATGCACACGTCCGAGCGATGCCAAGAGAAGAGGCGAAGCCCCTGTGCTTGTTCGGTGGACGGGGGGCCTCGGTGCTCTTGGGGTCGGGGGTGTGGGGGAGGGAAAGGGGCGTGCGGCAACGGGGCCTCGAGGGAAGAGCCCAGGGTGCGCGGCAGCCATGGGTCTCGTCTGGGTCACCTGGCTGCGCTCCTCGCGCCCGCGAGTGCGCGATGCGCTGTTATCTCAATTAGCGCCTTCGCGCCGCCCCCCTGGAGAGGGGCAGGCGCTCTGGCCCAGGCCGCGACGCGCGAAAGCGTGATGTATCTTGGCGCCCCAGCGGGTGCCCTAGAATCCACATGGCGCCTCGAATGAACGATCCCCATGGTCCTTGTATTGCTCTTCTTGTCCTGTGCCGCCTCGTTCTTCCTCGTGCCACTCACGCTCCCAAAAGGTCCGCAGTGACTTCCGCTCGACTGGGTATCTCAGTACACGGCGGCCAAGAGAGAACGCGGAAGGACGGGGGGGGGAATGGAGAACGCGGGAGAGGGGGGAGTAGCAAGCGAGAAGGGAATGACATACAAGGAGAGAGGGGGGAGCAGAGAAGGTAACGTGGGCGCAGGGAGGAAGAGGAGAAGGCGGAGGAGGATATCAGAGGAGCGCGCCGAAGGCAGTGCCCATCGCAAAAAGGGCTGCGGTGCGGCGGGGGCCCCTGCCTGGCTGGGGGCCACGAAGACGCCGAAGGGGGACACGTACCTGGCGGCTGGCAGCTGCTGGCCGCGGCCTGCGCGGCCGCCGGAGGTATTCCCCCGTGCGCACCGCGCACGGATGCCATAGCCAGGTGCAGGATGGGTCGAGGAGCTTCATCCTGCTGGGCCCGTCACTGGATGTCTTGCCCACCGGTACCAGAGCAATACAATCGCCAACCCGTCAGGCTTGCCCTCGGTTCGGCGTCGCCTGTGCAGCAAAGCTGAGGAGGCGGTTGCGTGTATGGGAAATGCGTGTTGTGAGCCGCTCGATCTTCTCGTTTCGTCCCACTCCTTCTTCCATGCGCTGCGCACCAAATGCCAACCCCTTACACTGGATTGAATGGCTCCGGCTACAGCGAATTGAAAACGCTGCAACGCAATTCAACTCAAGTTTTCGAGTCCCTGGACATTGCAAATGCGCTCCTATTCCAGGCGCTGGCGGAGGAAACATGTGTATGAGACCTGTTTTTGCGTAGTGCCCCGACGGCCAGGCCAGGACTGTCAGACACGCCTCGAGACCTCGCCCCCTCCCTAATCCCCCAGAACCACTGTCGCCCGTGGCGGTGACGAGGGAGAAAGAACAGCGAGAAAGGAGGACGGGGAAGTGGGAGGAAAGAGCGACGACTTGACAAGCGGACGACTTGACAAGCGGGCGAGAAGTGGGAGGAAAGAGCACGAGGTGCGAGAAACCAACGAGAGGGACGAAATAAAGAGAGACAGAAGGACGCTAAGGCCCCGATCCCGCGTGGCCGCTGACCCGCAGGGCGGAGGAGAAGGAGGAACAGCGAGGAGAGACGGTTGAAATAAGAAACGATGAAATTCAACGACAATGGCCGAACTAGAAAGAAACCAACTTAAGACGACGCCAAGACGAGGATGTCTCGGGCGCCTCGGCCTCCTCAGAGCGTTCCAGAACGCTCTGGAACGGATTGGTCCTCGTCCTAGCCCCGTCCGACAACTCCCCCCTCCACCCCTTGGCGTTAACATTGGCAAATGTTGTGTTCGGGATGTTGGGTTCAATCTTTTCCCGGTCCCTCTTCTCTGGGAACGCTTGTTCAGCACTAAGGTCGGGGACAGAGGAGGGGTCATGCGAAGTGGTTCCCCAACGCCCGTTGAACAACTTTTTCCTACAACGGGGAGGAAGAGGGAGGAGAGCCGGGGAAGAGCAAGGAGGCAGAAGGAGCGAGGAGGAGCGAGGGGAGACTGGCAAGGAAAATCACGATCAATCGCCGATCGCTGGCCGCTGTCGCAATCCGATCCCGACGGAAGAGCCTGCGGTAGAGGAACAAACATCTGCATGAACATAATTGTCCGGAGCTCCGCGCAAATTTCTTGGATCGGCGCTAGGCCCTCATCCCTGGCGTGCGGAGCATACGACTACTGTGCCAACGAGGGGCACATCATAACATTTCATTTCAGAACCCAATGTGTTTTACTATTGCTACCAATGCAACAGCTAATGCAATACAACGCGAAGTACTACAACGCGCTTGAAGATGGATAGGACACCATAACATAACATGGCGTAACAGTGCATACCATAACACAGCACAACGTAGCATTATATAACACAGTGCAACATACCATATCAAACATAACTCAATATACCATAGACCTCCCATACCGTAGCAGCACATCACATGAACGCGTGAAATAGAGCATAGCAGAGGAGAGTAGCAAAACATGATGTAACTAATACAATGGACTCGAATCGCCGAGAACCGGCGATTGCTGCATATAACAGAAAAGAACAATCAGCAGCCGACTGTTTGCGTCTGCGCGCCGAGGTTAGGCTGGCCACAGCGACAAAAAGTCGCAGCAACGGCCGAATGGACGGCATATAATACGTGACAGGCGTCACGCCATAACGTTGGCACCTATTGATTGAACGGAGCAGAAAGTAAGAGAGTATTATGGATGGGATATAGCTGAGTCGAACACCAATGAATACGGTAGAATACAGCAACGACCGAACATTGGAGCCGTATCGACCACAACATGCGAGCCGACGTAAGGCTGGCCACATAAATACATAGAAAATGCCAGTGCTGATCGGAACGTGCTATCACATAGTTCAGTAACGACCGAGTAACGGTCTCTTATCAAACGCGACATGCGCGCCGAACCCAGGCTGGCCAAAGAACACAAGACTTGAGAAGAAAACGCAAAGGGTTTTGGTGGGGATCACTCGATGCAGTTTAACTAATCCCGAGTCGTGTTTTCACGGTCTCAGGGCCTGGCGAGGGCCCCCGAAGCCGAACAGAGAAACAGCTGGTCGTGATCTGCTCGTGATCCGAGGGGCTCTCGGGGCCCGTGATTCGTCCATGATCTCGACCATTCCAGGGGCCAAGGAGGAGAGGGAGGAGCCCCGGCGGCGGCGCAGGGCGTGCGGCGCAGCGCGCAGGGCGCGCCTGGCCCCGAGCCCCTTCGCCTGCTGGAGGGCTCGCAGGACTGCGGCGCGGCGCGCGGGGGGGGCGCAGCAGGCTCACGCCTCCCGCCCAGTGCCGCTGCCTGCCCTTTGACACAGGATGTGTCGCCCCCGATCCCCGGCTTCGTGTGATCTTCGATCGGGGAGACGTAAGACCCGGGTACGGGGGACTCGGAAATCCCCGACGAGGTCGTCAAAAAAATGACGAGGCCGAGCCTGCATTTTGACGAGGCCTCCCGCTGCAGACATCCCACGAAACTCCTCCTCGTCAAAATCCGAGGCGCGGTCGTAAAAAAACGATGGCGAACCCGAGTCCTGGCAAACCCGGGTCTTGCGTTCCCCCGATTCGAACGGACAAAACAATTGGACCCCATTTGGGGATGTACGGCAAAGGGGGGTAAAGGGGGGGGGCGTCCCTCGTCGATAGGGGTGCCTACGAATAGCCGCCGGAGGGTGTCCCCGAGTTGCCCTCCGTGTCAAAGCGTCTTGACTCTCAGCGAAGAAACCCGCTTCTGGGGAAGATTCATATCCGTATCCACTGCGTCTTGGACGTTCCGGAAAACTGCGCCTGAAGGCCGAGGGGAAGCGGACATGGATGAAACTCTAGCCTATGGGGGTCTGATTTTAATCATGTCCACTGCACCTAGGGTTTATCGGGACGGGGGCCCGGAACTCCAAGACGCAGCTGATGTGGTTGCAAATCTTGGCCGCAGCTGCTGCCCTTGTCATCTTCGTCTTTCGCTAGAGGCAGAGGAGAGAGTTAGGAGCGAATTCATGGGGGGTCTTCGTGAGATCGATCTAAAAACATATAGCCCCCCGGCATTGCGGATAAGAGTGAGGGGGCGGCGGGGTCGTCGGCAGCCTGCGAGGCTCTGAAGAAGCCCGCGCAGGCAACATTTAACTCATACAACGAGCCCGCTGCAGACGCCGAATACTTCGTAAAAGTAAGTCGGTGGGTCGCGGGTGGGTCGCGGATGGGTCGCTGGTTGGGTCGCGGATGGGTTGCGGGGTGGGTCTCGGGGGTGGGTCGCAGGTGGGTCGCGGGTGGGTCGGGGGTCTCGGGTGGGTCGCGGGCCAGGTCGCGGATGCGACGACGACAAAAAGACACACAACAAACAACAAAGAGCAAACAGCAACCAGCAAATACTAAACACCAAACAACAAACAACGAACACCAAACAAACCAACAACAACAATCAATTTAAGACTTGTCGATCTTACTGGCACGCGTGTCTTGCATTCCGTATACCCCAACCCTCGATACCTGCCCACTGCGTCTTCGATTGCACCCCCATTCGGGGGGAATCCCTTCCTTGTCGGCCACTGACTGAGGTGCGAGGAAGTCTCGAGCGAGAGCGCCGTTCCTGAGTTCGGGGGCCTCTCTGGCCAAGGGCTCTCAGAATACCTACGGAGAAATATCGAACGGGAGCCCTTGTCGCCGTGTTCGGGCCGCCACCAACTTGCCCGAATTACGGGAAAGTCTCGAGCGAGAGCGCCGTTCCTGAGTTCAGAGGCCTTCTTGGCCAGGGGCTCTCGGAGTAAATCGTAAAGAAGCATCGAGCAGGAGCCCTTGTCGTCGTGGCTGGGCCTCCGCCAACTCAATTGGATTGCGAAGAAGTCTCACGCAAAAACGCCGTTCCTGAGTTCGGAGGCCTCTCTGGCCAGGGTGTCTCGAAGTAATGTGTGGGGAAGTATCGAGCGGGAGCCGTTGTTCGCAGCTGGGCCTCCAAGGGCCCGCAGTAAGGCTCAAACCAACGCTCGGGCGGAAGCCTTGTTTTCAGAGAAAATGTAGCCGGCGCCGAGGCGAGAGCGCGCGGAACCGTTCCCGGAGATCAGCAATAATTATTCGTGAAAAATGAGCATCCAACCACAACAACAACAACAACAACACCAACAACAACACCAACACACAACAACATGACGGCCAACAACAACATCAACATCACCAACAACAACAACACCACCAACAAAAACACCAACTCCAACAACAACAATCATTTTAAGACTGTTCGCCCTTATATGCTCGAGTGTCCAATAACGCGTATTTCCCAAACCCTCGATACCCGCCCTCTTTGTCTTCGATCGAACCCCTTTTGGGGGGTATACCTTTCTTCCCTGCAGGCCGGGCCCCGGCAAGCGGCGGGGCGGCCGCGGACCGTCGGCCTGGCCAGCGGCAGCGCTGATCGGCGGGGCGGCCGCGGACCGTCGACCCGACCCCAAGAGGGACGGACAGGGGACCGACCACGACGACGACGACGACGACGACGACGACGACGACGTCGAAGACGACGGCGACGACGACGACGGCGACGACGAGCGAAAGCGAGAGCGAGAGAGAACGACAGCAGGGCCACGAAGGGCACGAAGTAGGCCACGAAGGGCGACAGCGGGGACACGAAGGGAATGCGTATGGGGCCACGAAGAGCGCGAACGAGCGGGGGCCACGAAGTGCAGATAATGCGGGGCCACAGAAGGCAACTATGGGGCCACTGAGGGTAGCAACTGGGCCACGTAGGACAGTGAGGGGGACACAAATGGCGACAGCGGGGCCACGAAGGGCATGCACATGGGGCCACAACGGGCGCGACTCATGGGTGCCTGGGTGTCGGGAGCGCGGCGCTTGGGCAAATTGCAGGAAATTCCAACGCAAGGCCATTCTTCAGTAAGTTGCAAGCAAGTCTCTGGCGAGAGCGCGACTCGAGAGCGCCGGGAGAGCGATTCCTGAATAAATTGTTAGGAAGTCCGAAGCGAGAGCGCGATCCCTGCATAAAATGCGAGGAAGTCTCGGGCGGGAGCGGGGGTCCTGGCTAAATTGTAAGGAAGTCTAAGGCGGGAGCCGTTGTTGTTGTAACCCGGGGGCCAGGGGCCCAGTTAGAGCATGAAGCGTCGAGCGTCGAGAGGCACACTTTGAGTGAGAAAAAACAATATGCACCCCTGGGTGGATCAACAATAATTATTCTTCAGGAATGAGAACTCAACATCACCACCACCAAAACCACCACCACACCACAACGCCCACAACCACAAACAACAATAACAACAACAATCATAGCAACAACGACGACGATAGCTACAACGACAACGCCAACGACAACATCAATCATAACACCACCAATAACAACAGCAGTAGCACCGATCCGCACCGCGGAATCCCTTTTCCAGCCACGCACCCAGGGACAATGCATGACCGTTCGGCCCCCCTCAATCTGATTGAGCGCTTGTGGAGCCATTGAAACGGATCAGACCGGATTGAGCCCAATATCAAACATGATTAGGCGGGATGAGGCGTGACGACACGGAAGTAAGCTGGACTATGGCAGAGATGGCCGGCGTTCAGCCGCGGATATACCAGCGCCGATGCTGAAGTTAGCCTCCGAGGAGATGTAGCCGAAAGACAGGGAGGGGGACGAAGAAGAGGAGAGGCAAGGGAGGCTGACCTGGCCGCAAGCGGTGTCGCTTCCCTCGCCTTGCACAGCACAGCGGCTGACGGCGGAAAACCGCGCGAGGTCTGGCAGCACAGTGCGGCGAAGCACAGCTCTGTCCTCCCGGACCGGGGCATGCTGTATTTCGAACTGCGCAGATGTGAGCCGCTGGCGGGTGGGGCCTGTCGTCCCCACGGCTCCTCATTTCGGGGGCGTCCAAGAGGGGGGCGTCCAAGAGGGGGGGGTGCAAATCATGGCCGGCAGCATGTGCGCGACCCAGGGGGAGGGCCAGGAACGTATTGAAGTAAGAAGGGGCGCCATGAAATCTGGGGAGATATCATGGCCCCCGCCATGATATTCACCCCCCCTAGTCATCACCCCCTCTTGGCCGCCCCCGAGCATTATCCTCCCCCTCTAGTCACTCTAGTTAGCGGCAAAGGTGGGCCTGGGCCCCTGATGCCCGATTGCTGCTTGACGGAACAGCCAGTGCCCGCCACTTCCCCGAGCGGAGGGCGGGACGGTCTTCCCCCAGAGAAGGCTCTGGATACCTGCGGAATGCGCTTCGGGATCGGAAGAGGCACGGGAACGAGGAGGCGAGGAAGGAAGGGGAGGCCCATCCTGGCCGCAACATGGTGTCGACCAGGTCGCCCAGAGCACCCGCGACGCCCACGAGGGACGGCGGTGCGGCGCCAACCCAAAAAGGATCATGGCTTTTCCAGAGACTTCATGGCTCTTTCGAGCTCTCGACTTTTTCTGCGTCTGGAGGCCCTGTGGGCCATCACTGCTCAGGAAACCGATTGGGCGCCGTGGGGCCGATTAACCCGGATCCAGTGGCCGGGGCGCCGAGTAGGGTTGGCCGCTCAGATACAGCAGGAATCGGAGCGGTAAGAGCGGGAGTCGGAAAGAGTCGGAGACGGTAACGGAGCCGGGGTCGGAAAGATGCATTGTACAGACCCAGTCGTGGATCCGCAGTCGTGACATTGCTGCTTCAGCTGCACGTGCGGCTCTCTTGATCCGATCAACCCACGGCTCCAATTCAGTGGCGTTCACATCGTCATCGTCATCATCATGCATACTCGTCGCGGACTCTGGCGGCATGCTGTCGACGTCACGCCCGTCGTCGTCGTCGGAGGTCTGGTGGGTAGACTGATGCTCGGGTGGTGGTTGTGATACTTGTGCCACGTGTGTGGAGGTGCGCCGTGGCATTCGCACAATCATGCGATGCATTTGTCGTTGTGTTCGTTGGAATCGGCGTGCTAATTCGGTTGTCAACGTCCAAACTTCGCAACCATACAACATAGTCGACGTGACGGTTCCGTGAAAGAGGCGAAGCCAGTCTGACTGTGAATAAGTTGGTCCAGTAAGCTCTTGCTTCAACATGTTAAACATGTGAAACTTTCGCCATGCTGTGGAAATGCGGTTTTCGCGTAGCCGTTTGGGCAGTCTTGGGAACCATCTTGGGCTTCCTTGGGCCATCAGGAGGCCCCAAAGGGCTCCCTGTATTGACTGCGCCAGGATGCCCATCTGCATGCCAGCCGTTCGTGCATTGAGTGCACCGGGCTGCCCAACTGCATGCCAGCCGTTCGTGTATTGATTGCACC